AATGCGTTTTTCGAACCACCAAGCATGAGAGCATGTTCTAGTACACCCCTAAAACAAAATCAAGACTTTGTAAAAGAGCATAATAGGACCCCTTTAAAGACTGTTTATTGTATCTTCTTCGTTTACGTGCTTCGCTCCTGCACCACACCGTGACCCTGAAAAAGTAAAGCGGCGTGTTTCCCCGCGTTTTGTTTTTTCGTTTTATTTATGGATGATCCTGCCGTCCTCGTCCTCCTGCTGCAGCAGGGGGATCGCTCTCTCGAGGACCACACCGAAGACTTTGTGTTTTTCGCTAACCTGACACTACCCGGACAACTGCCTCTGCTCGTTTTATCAAACTGGACTGAACACCTCCACACGAGCGCAGCTGTCCGGGGACGGTCCTCGAGAGAGCCTTGCTCCACTTTGTTGAGTGGGTGCTGGTGTCCTGTGGATCACTGCTCACTGTGGACAATGACACCAGCCCCACTCTGGACCCAGAGCCCAGCCCACCATCACCAGTATTCACGGAGCGTCAGCCCGAGCCCACCGCGGACGGAGAGCCAAAGTCCATCACAACCCACGAGCCATCGCAAGGAGGAGCGCCTGAGCGGGGGATTGCCCCGGAGCCAAAGCCTCATCTACCGTCCGACCAGGTGCGAGAGCCGGCTACATCGCACGCGACGGTGGATGGAACAGTGGAGCATGAGGGGGCTGAGGGAAGCCCCGCCGCTGAGGGTGAACGGTGGCAGGACTCTGAGAACCTTATTAATATGGATATATATGCAGACATGCCTGTTCTGCTTCCGACTTCATCTGAACTTCCTCTAGCTACCCTGAACTATCTACATGCCTGGATTTCCCACCCACTTCAGCTCATTCACCATCGGCATCGTGGCTGGAGGATCCCTTGTCTCCGCCTACAGCCTCTAAGTCTCGGACTCCGCCTCGGCCAATCGACCCAGTGGCTCCACCTCGGCTTCATCCCTTGTGTTCTTTGACCTAGTTTCTGCCTCTCCTTGATTGTGTCATTATGTTCAGGTGTTTCTTGTCAATTATCCTCATTTACGTTCCCCATATAAGTTGCATTCTGGTCTCGTGTATGGAAACGTCTAAATTACCCTGGTGTGTGTTTGCTGTTACCCTGCTGTGGATTATTAAAGACTGTTTATTGTATCTTTTTCATTTACGTGCTTCTCTCCCACACCACACTGTGACAGTGTATACACAGCCTAATTATTTCAATTATTTAATTTTAAAAAAAATTACATAATAAATATTGATATTTTCTACAAATAAATGTCATGTCAAACTGCATATTTATTTAAATATTTTTTACAACGTTTGATAAATTTGCTGTTAATTTATTACCGTTAATAAAACTGTAAATGGATAATAAAAATTCAGATATTTTCATATAAATATCAGACATTCATTTGAATTAAAGACAAATAACAACACAACCCTCTACATTGCGAGTAAATCACTCGCATATGCGACTAAATCTTATTCTGGGTATCAGTCTGGCGAGTAAACAAAAAAATGTACTAGCCAATGGCGATTCAATTGCCAAGGTGTTCGTAGAGGGCTGCAACACACAGTTTACATACAGTTCATAAATGAGAAAAGTTGCGTTGGCAACTACCTGAAATAAAATAGGTTTGTTGAAGTAAAAAAACAAAACAAAAAAAACTAAAATTAAATAAAATAAATAAAGTTAATTAATTCAAGCTACATAGAAATAATAAAAGACAAAAAAAAAAAGAATTACAGAAATTTTAAATATAAGAAAAAAATATTAAAATACTACAATAGTATATAAACAATAATTAATAATAAATTAAATTAGAGTTTGGCTGTAACTACCAGTTACGTACCCATCTGTACTAATAATTTACTTACTGAAAGTCTCATCGGTCAGCTCCTCTCCCATGCCTTCGGTTACTGTTACGGTGTTTATGCCTTTCTCTCCTTTCATGGCCTGAGAACAATCATACAAATGTCATGTAAATGAAAAGAGCACAACCAGTCAAGAGGAGGAAACCACATCTGACAGCTGTGCAAAGTGTTACTGCTTATTAAACCAGACATGCCTTTTTTACTTCCAATGATGTTTGATGATGGCATTAAAATGTCAACGCTACCTCTCTGAACTTCTGCAGGTAGAGCTTCAGAGGCTCCACATACATGTCGAAACCCAGCGTGGACATTGCGAACAGGATGTCTTCGCCGTTTATCGTCTTGCGTTTCTCCTGATGGCATCTCTCGCTGGCTTCTGAAGTGATGAAGCTGATGAACTCGCTCACACACTCCTGCACACACTCCTTGGCATCCTTTGCTATCTGAGGTGATGGGGAGAAAAGTTTCTTTTGAATAACGTGTGTAAAACTTGATTACATTTTGAAAGTTTCACTTTCTTTTAGCAAAATAAATGGTATTAATTAAGAAGCTCTGAACAAATAAATTGAGAGGTGATCAAAGTGCTTCTTTTTATACATAAACCAAATAATACAAAAACTAGTAAATAACAAATTTAAAGAGGGTTTTATTTTTCCTTCTCCAAACCAAACTGCCTTAAAAATGACTTACTTTTCCAGTTTGTGGGATGGCATTCTTCATGATCCGAGCTACGTTGGCGATGGGGAGATAGATGTCTTGTTCACGTAGGTTATCTTTGCTTCCATTGCCATCCTCGTGGTCGTCGAGACCCTCATCACCTTCATCTTTACAAAAAATAAATAAATACATAAGAAATGTTTCTTGAGCAGCACAAAAGCATATTAGAATGATTTCTGAAGAATCATGTGAAAGTGAAGACTGGTGTAATGATGCTGAAAATTCAGCTTTGCATCACAGGAAGAAATCACATTTTACAATATAGTCAAATAAAAAAAACAGTCATTTTAAATAGTACTAATATTTTAAAATATTACTGTTTTTCTGTATATTTGATCAAATAAATGCAGCCATGCATTTATTCAGCCTCTTTAAAAACAATTAAACATCTTAATGATTGCAAACTTTTGATCAGAAGAGTAAATATCATTTAATAAGAGATAAATCATTTAGAATCATTTAAATTGGACATTTAATAAATATAATATATGATTAAATATTTTGTATATTAAATGTAAACACTTAAGTCAAATCATGTATTATAAATTAATTTATTTAAATAATTAACATAATAATTGCATCAGATTTTTTTATAATGTATTAATCAATTAATTAAATGATAAATAAATCATTCGTAATAATTTAAATATGACTTTAGGGTCACTTACCTTCTGGAGCTTGAGCTAGAACAAAGTGACTACCAGCCATATATTCTCCTGTTATGCCAAGTTGGGAGGCATCTGTAGTTGAACTGTCTCCGTCCATCTGAAAGATAAATTAAATTGTATTACAGCTGTAAATTATTGGTTGTGTTTCAAAACCAAGTGAGCTGCCTACCTAGACAGCATTTTTGGCCACAGGGCCCTATTATACTTACATAAACGTATGTGGGCACGCAAAATTGAGACACTAACATGAATTTAACCTTTCTTTTATTCAGTAATAAACGTTTATAATTATCATCTTTCAGTGAAACAAATTCCCCTCACAGACCATCACAGAATTTATTATATAATAAAAATATAAATGGATAATAAATATTCAGATCTTTTTCATACAAATATTTCAGGCATTCATTTGAATCAAAGACAAAATAATAACACGTCCGTTACAGTTCATAAATGAGAAAAGCTGCTTTGGCAACTACCTGAAATAAAATAGTTTTGTTAAAGATGAATATGTTGTTGAAGTAAAAAAACAAACAAACAAAAACTAAACTTAAATTAAATAAAGTTAATGAATTAATTCAAGCTACATAGAAATATTAAAAGACAAAAAAAAAACTAAAAAAAAAAAGTAACGTAACGTTACCCTTACCAAAAAGTAGTATACTTCAAGTTTGTAGACTAAAAGTATACTTTCTTATTTTTTAGTTTAAAAGAAGTATACTAATAGCACACTTGAATAAACTTATTTTTCGTAAGGGTACCCATCTGTACTAATAATTTACTGACTAAAAGTCTCGTCAGCTATAAATATCTTGCCACTTATACATTGAAGGCAGTCGGTGTAGTCTAAATATGATATTTAATAAATAAAAAGCGAATTAAAAATAACATTTTGATACCAGCACACATTTTATTGGCTAAAGAGCCCGCCAGTGCTAGCAATGAACATGGCTGGTTACACGCACGAAATAAAAACAAACCACACTTTCCCACTGAATCATTCAGATAAATTGGTCAAATGAGTTATTATAACTGATGGATGCATCAAACAGCAGAAGAGGGCGGAGAACAAGGCAGACGAGCTAAAGCAGCCGTGGATCCGCTGAAACTGATCGTAGTAAACAAAGGGGCCGAGCACGAAGACGAGCTTTTAACAATTATAAGCAACAGCGAGCTGCTTTTCATAAAGCGCGCTTAATTTCTCATTCTCCCCGCCAACTAATAATAAAACTCTCGCGCGCGGAGATTTCCATTCGATGTAAGGAAATATAGGTTAGCAATCATTGGCCGTAGCCGCTCACTAACCTGCGATGAAGCCCTGGTTGGTTCTCGCCTCAGCTCGGCCGTTTGGTTGGACAGAAAATGGCTGCGGGAGAGCCAGTCCCTGCGCAGGACTGAACGGTGCTGGAGGAGGAGTCCACCTCGGACACTAGGTGGCGCTTGAGCCCTTCTGTTTAAAGATAAAAACGAAATGTTGTCGAAATAGCGCCTTCTATTGGTAGTGGTTGGCACACCGCACTGAAATCCTTTGAGAAGCATCCCAGTCTGTGACCTGGGGCCAGTTGCATGAAATGTTTAGACTGGTTTTATAAGTTAGCTATCAAAGACTGGTCACCGTTTTTAAAAATTCAGTTACATAAAAGCTTAGATTAGTCAAAGTTGAATGCAAAACTTAGACTGATTTCTTATTAGCTATGCTAGTTGGTCAAACTAGTACTTATGTCTTAATATAGAGGCTAAATTAATGCAATTGGCTCCAGATTAGCTCACGTTAGCTTCCCTTAGGGAACGTTATTATGGTTACCATAGTTCCAGGAAACATTGAATGGTTACTGTTATTATTGCTAGGGTACATAATTCATGTATGTGGAGATGAGTGAGCTTATGTATCTCGTGGATCATTAGTCCAACAAATCGAACACTGTGTGTTCATTGGATTATATCAATAGATTTTGATATGAAGGTCACATTAAAATGTCTTGGAAATATGTTCTGTGTCTTCATGATTTATTTTTGTTCATTTTAATTGTGTGGTGTGTGTACACTAAGATGATATTTGTTTTATTGTTTTCCAAGATTGAGACTTAATCATAAAAACATGACATTTTTTTAAAACAATGATAATCTAAACAAAGATTAAAATAAACATTTCAATATTTAATTAATAAAAGCATTTATTTGTCCCAAAGTTGTGTATTTGCACCAAAACTAGTATTTCTATCATTAATAATATGAGACCTCTGATGTGTGAAAACAATCACAAATAATTTTATTGTCATTTCTGAACTGTAACACAAACCGTAATTTAAGTGTGTGTGTGTGTATATATTTTTAGTATATACACTATATATTTACATTTAGTCATTTAGCAGATGCTTTTATCCAAAGCGACTTACAAATGAGGACAATAAAAGCAGTCAAAACTAACAAAAGAGCAACAATATATAAGTGCAAATGACAAGTCTCGGTTAGTCTAACACAGTACACGTAGCAAGGTGTATATATATATATATATATATATATATATATATATATATATATATATATTATACACACATATATATATACACACATACATAAAGGATACTGTATACAGTCGGTTTCCCAAATGAACATTATTCAGAAATATTTGACCAATGAATGAAATAAAACAGCTGTCTGAGTTTTCCCAGAAAAATTAAAAACAAGAAAAAAATATATAATGTTGTCCTTTTATAATAGCATGCATATCTCAATGATTAAAGCAAAGGTATCAAAAAGACACATTATTTGTAATAAAAAATGTATTCAACTGTGGATACTAAATATTGTTAACTAGCTGTAAAGGACAGAGGATCTTTCAGATGATTCCTATGCAAATCATTTGTACAAATCTTCACAAACTTCAATCAGTTTTTCTCTTATATTACCACTGATACATTTTTGAAGTATAATGAATGAATTGATAGTTTTTTTTTGTTTACAGCAAAAGATAATAAAGTAATAAACTATTTCAGGTGATTTAATAAAATAAAATAAAATCCTATCAATATATCTCAGACATTATTGTGTTTACTTTCCTTAATACATCCTGAAGATTAATAAATAATCAATAAAAAATAAAATCCACATGCATTGCTAAATTGTATAAGGCTGCTTAATGCAAATATTTGGACATTAAGACATATGATTAATAGCTTGTCACATCTCAGTGTCACTGAATAAACATTTCTGTACAATAAAAACATATATTATCATATTTTTATTAGAACCAATTAGGAAATGCTATTCTATATAGCACAAAAGATACTGATCCAGGAAGACGAGTGCAAATCAGACATTTAACATAACAACATATGGAAACAGACAACAGCAGTTCTTCATTCAAAGAAGATAGTTGTGTGACTTGGAGAAGTGCTACTGTCACATGAGGCAGCATGAACTGCACACAGGGATTTGACTGGCATGTATGGAAAGGTTGATATTTCAAGTAATGTTCATCTGGCTGAACTGTGCAGAGAAATGGCAAACATGTAAACCAGCACAATAGACAGCGGTGACAGATCAGATCTAATCTGTTTAATGAAATCGGACAATGTCATTTTAATGTTTATGTCACCAGTGACATAAGAAGAAAACACAGCGTCAGAAAGCCAGTGCCCAAAAGATCCCCTAGAGCCGTCAGATACGGTATAGAGAAGCTATCAGGATCTCTGCCGCACTTCCACAAGCAGTGAACCATCACATCAGCTATGCCCAGCAGAAGAAACACCTGAATGAAAGAAGATTCAGAATAAAATACCACACCTCTCCTTAATAAGACATATGCTAACATTTCTTTCACTTGCCTGCGTGAAAGCAGCTGCCAAATAGAAGAAAATGAAAGCTGCAGTGGGTGGATTCGGGCTGCCTTGTATTAGGTAAATGCTGTAGATGAAGACCAGGTGACCCGGCATGGCCAGCGTTGAGCAGCACCTGCGCTAATCTTCCATTCGGCCCTGTCAGAAGCAAGGAAGAGTGTTTTTTGTCTTCGATCTGAAACCTTAAACCAGGTCCACTTTCCTGCAGAGTTTAGCTCCAACTCATTGTTGGAAATCTGTTACCTGTGGCGCAAAAGCTGCGGCAGGGGCAGTAACATCCTTTAGCATTGTCTGGAAGTTCACCCAGTGGACAGTGGAAATGAAGATACGTGGCTATACGACTAGCCTGGATGGAAACCAGATTACCACCAACACCTTAAAGGGATAGTCCACCCAAAAATGAAAATTCTGTCATACATTTCCAAACCCATAAGACCTTCGTTCATCTTCAGAACACAAATGAAGATATTTTTTGATGAAATCTGAGAGCTTTCTGACTCTGCATAGACAGCAACGCAACTGACACGTTCAAGACTCAGAAAGGTAGTAAGGACATCATTAAAATAGTCCATGTGACATCAGTAATTCAACCTCTCTGAAAAGCCCAGTCTGTGTCGTTTCTATCAGGATGGCTGTGGATTCATTATCTCCTGATTGGGAGTTTGACCGCTTTGATGATGGGTCACAAAGTAAGTAACGCGTCTGACCGGAATGTTACTGGCCATTTGTTGTGTAAAAGATGCATAAATCCTGCAGCTAGCTGAGTAATGTAAGCTAGCTGTCAGATGACCAGGGAAAGTGGCCAAGTTCAAGCACGCTGATTAGATTAGTGTGTGTGGTCTTTATTGATCTCACAAAAAATGTGATAAGGAAGTCTTTCGCTTTCATTTGAAAGTGTTCCCACATCATTGCATTGGAGGATTGCATTTCTTTGAATGCAAACATAGATTATTAATTGATTGACCAGTGAATTCAATGCTCAGAATAATATTAATAATTTTAATTATTCTCTTTATAGTATTAAATGTTGATATTGATGTAATATATATA